ACCCGGTCCTCCGCGTCGCGCCCGGGCCGCTCCCTCCCCCGCCTCGAGCTCCACCATGCCGCGGACCCGAAACCCCGAAGAAAAGAAAGGTCTCTCACCGTCCTTTCGCCACCGCCCCGCGCTTCCTGATGAGTTCATCCAGGGAGATGTCCGCCATCTTGCTCCGCCGAGCGAGCCGAAAGCTGCCGAGACACCCCCAGCCCGCGAGCCCGCCCCTTCGGCCGCTACAGAGCGACGAACTACTTCCGACGTCCGCCGACCAACTCTCGCGACAGCCAGCTAAACGCAAGCAAGAACCGGAAGGGGCGGGGACGCTCCCCGTGAGCCTTCGCGGAGCTGGCTGCTCATCTGCATACAGAAGGTCGGCACATTATGAATTATTTATTCTCCCCGACGAAAAAACATTAAATGAAAAGCAACAAAATAATTTCATTAACAAGTAAGACAAACTTCAATGGAAGTGGATCATTACCTCAACAGTCAACTATGATACTCATCATACGCCAAATGAGAATATGATTCATTACCTAGGAAATAAGAGTTAGCGTTTCTTTATGCCTTAAACTTATGAGTAAGGAAAATAACGATTCGGGGTGACGCCCGAATCCTCACTGCTAATGTGAGACGAATTTTTGAGCGGGTAAAGGTCGCCCCTAAGGTGACCCGCCTACTTTGCGGGATGCCTGGGAGTTGCGATCTGCCCGATCCCTTTACATCTGAAAAGTAGACTGGGCGCGGGGTGGCGCAGTTTCTGTTTCTTTCCGGCGCACGGTGGGTGCGTTCTCATTCCTGTTTTCTCCTCCTGCCCACGCCGCCAGTTCTTAGGGAGTCTAGTCACCGGCTGGGGACGCTCTGCACTTCATCGCTGTCCCAAACTGCGCATTGAGTCAGTCCAAGGTTGCCCACAATATTGACGTTGTGACCCACGAAACTGGCAATTTCCATACATGCGGACTTAACCCAGTTCTCCCAAACTTCCCTGTATAACCGCTTCTCTGTGCTTCAGGAAGATACGTCAGGCCCCGGCCTCACACAGCAGCTCAGTTAATGACAGCGTGTCTTCACTTTGCGACCTTATAATGTAGTGCTCTTGGGGGTGAGAGCCGGACGACTGCCTGGCTCGCGTCCCGGTGACGGCGTGACCGTCACGAGCAAAGCACTTCATCTTTCTGCCTCTGTCTTCCTAATATGTATTATGGAGCAAATAATTTATAGGGCGTTGGGAGAGTTAAAGAGACTAATTCATTTAAGGGTTAAATACAGGGAATGACTTTTGCATTGATACAACCCCAGCCTCCAGCATGCGCCAGGCATGAGGTAGGTGTTCGGCACATATTTGTCCAATCACTCTAAAAATACACTCCATGCCCTTAGAACAGATGGGGTTAAGTCCTCTTGGCCATCAGGCATCAGGAGCTCCGTACAGAAACTGGGTAAGAGGCCAGTGACGGTGGCTCACGCCTGTAATCCCAGCACTTTGGGAGGCCGAAGCGGGTGGATCACCTGAGGTCAGGAGGTTGAGACCAGCCTGGCCAACACGGAGAAACTCCGTCTCTACTGAAATTTAAAAAAAAAATAAAAAAAAATTTAAAAAAAAAGCCAGGTGTGGTGGCACGGCCTGAAATCCCATCTACTCAGGAGACTAAGGCAGAAGAATCACTGGAACTCGGGAGGCGGAGGTTGCAGTGAGCCGACATCGCGCCATTGCACTCCAGCCTGGGCAACACAGCAAGACTCCATTTCAAAAAAAAAAAAAGAAAGAAAGAAAGAGGGTAAAAGCGATCGTACAATCCTTCTGCCTCAGCCTCCCGAGTAGTTGGGACTACAGGCTCACCCCACCACTCCGGGCTCCTTCCCAGGCCTCTTTTCCTCACCCATAAAACGGGACCATTAAGCCTTTCCTCCCTTCCAGGCGTGCCAGGAGGAACGCGCGACGGGAGGACAGGCTGGCCAGTGGGGTCAGCTGGGCAGTGTAGAGTAGATGCGGAGGACGATTTTATTTTTGTTTTTATTTTTGAGATGGAGTCCTGCTCTGTCGCCCAGGCTAGAGTGCAGTGGCATGATCTCAGCTCACTGCAGCCTCCGCCTCCCGGGTTCAAGCGATTCTCCTATCTCAGCCTCCCGAGGAGCTGGGATTACAGGCGCGTGCCACCACGCCTGGCTAATTTTTGTATTTTTAGTGCAGACGGGGGTTTCACCATGTTGACCAGGCTGGTCTCAAACTCCTGACCTCAGGCGATCTGCCCGCCTCGGCCTCCCAAAGTGCTAAGATAACAGGCGTGAGCCACCGCGCCCGGCCGACTTTTTTTTTTTTTTTTTAAGTCAGCACAACTGATCATAAACATGTAATCTAAGTCTGGGATGGCCCCTCCCCCCGGGCATTTCAGAGCTTTGTTTGGACGTTTGATCCCAAAGACAGGGATGGCGGGCACGTGGGGGTGGGGACTGGTGGGGCTCTGGCCCTCCCAACGTCCCGGTGCATCCCCAGAGTGAAGCCCCTTGCGGATCTCCCAGCCAGGGCCCCACTCCCTGTCTTTTGTGGACTCGCAGGACTTTTTGCTCAGTGAGAACAAACAGAGTTTCTAGCAGAGCAGCTGCGCAGCAGCGGAAGGAATTCGGGTCCCGCCCGGGAAGCCGCGCCCCAGTCGGTAGAGCCTGGCAGCGTCTGCGGCCGCGACTCCGGGGATTCTGCTCCTGCCCCATGTATCCCCGGGACCGGCTCAGCGTTTGCGTGCAGAAATAGTCTGTTTCACCAGAGTCTTTTTTTTTTTTTTTTGAGACAGTGTCTCACTCTGTTGCCCAGGCTGGAGTGCAGTGGCTTGATCTTGGCTCACTGCAAGCTTAGTCTCCCACGTTCAAGCGATCCTCCTGCCTCAGCACCCCCAGTAGCCGGGATTAGAGGCACACGTCACCAAGCCCTGCTAAGTTTTGTATGTTTAGTAGAGACGGGGTTTCACCATGCTGGTCTCGAACTCCTGACCTCAGGTGATCCACCCGCTTCGGCCTCCCAAAGTGCTGGGATTACAGGTGTGAGCCACCGCACCCAGTCTCCTTTCTTGCTCTTTTATAACTCATTTGGAGCTGTGTTGATTTTTAAATTCTTCGCATAGGTAGGTGACACTGCCTGTGAATTCTGGAGTGTAAAGGACCCGTTACAACTATTATCTTAAAGGTGTTGTCCAGGTGCAGTGGCTCATGCCTGTGATCCCAGCACTTTGGGAGGCCGAGGCAGGTGGGTCACCTGAGGTCAGGAGTTTCAGACCAGCCTGACCAACATGGTGAAACCCCGTGTCTACCAAAACTACAAAAAATTAGCCGGTGTGGTGGTGCACACCTGTAATCCCAGGTATTCCGGAGACTGAGGCAAGAGAATCACTTGAACCCGGGAGGCAGAGGTTGCAGGGAGCTGAGATTGTGTCACTGCACTCCAGCCTGGGAGACAGAGCGAGACTTCGTCTCAAAAATAATAAATAAAGGTGTTGAGTCTGAATGGAGAATAGCCGCCATAAAGCCCTCTCCCGTTTTCTGAATGGGGAAATAGACCTGCAGGGGGTAGGAATCAGGTCCAATTCATCCCCTTTTCCCAGGTCCCGGAGGTAGCCTCTTGTGGGCGCAGGCAGGCCTGTGTTCAAATCCCGTGCCTTTCAGCCTCAGACAAGGACAGAAATGAGGATGAGACCTAATGTGTGTCCACTGCTAGCACAGTCCCTGGCCACAGTGTGGAAAAGGCCATTTTGGGTCTGAGATTCCTTTTCCTGCCCCTGTAGGTAGTGAGGTGGCCAGAGACAGAATGGAAAATGAGAGGTGAGAGGAGACAAGGCTTTCCTAGTCCCTGGGGTTGGTCTTGGGCCCTCCTTCCTGTGAACCTGTCCCGTCCCCTCTTCTCCCCCACTCCCCTCCAGTCACACTGACCTCGCTGTGCTCCTGGGGCCACCCAGCAAGTCTCCATAGCACCAGCCTAGCCCCGCCTCCCTCTCCAGCCTCGTCATCACTGCCTCCTCCAGCCACCCACCTTCTTTGATCTATTTCTGAAAGTTTATTCCACGAGCTGGTTCCAATGGCAGGGCCTTTGCACCTGCTGTTTCCACCACTTGAACACCCACCCACCCCGGCAGGGCCAGCTCTCTCTTCCCATCCCAGCCCAAATCCATCTCCTTGGGGCCTTCCTGCTACCTCATTTTAAGAACAGCCCCACACCCACTTTGCCTCATCACCTCTGTAATTTACCACTGTGCAGATGGCATCCTCTGACTTCCCTGAGCCTCGAGACTCATCTGATCTTGACGGGAGGCAGCAGCCTACTGGTGGATTGGGGTGACTAGGGTTGCTTGGTTCCAGCTGGTTTGGTTCTGGGGATTGGGAATTTTTCTTCCTGTGTATATTTCTCTGCACTTTCCAAATTTTCTATCACAAAGATACATCAAAAATAAATGCCTGGCCAGGCGCGGTGGCTCATGCCTGTAATCCCAGCACTTTGGGAGGCCGAAGCAGGCGGATCACGAGGTCAAGAGATCGAGACCATCCTGGCTAACACGGTGAAACCCGTCTCTACTAAAAATACAAAAAATTAGCCGGGCGTGGTGGCAGGCACCTATGGTCCCAGCTACTCGGGAGGCTGAGGCAGGAGAATGGCTTGAACCCAGGAGACGGAGCTTGCAGTGAGCTGAGATCGCGCCACCGCACTCCAGCCTGGGCGACAGAGCGAAGAGACTCCATCTCAAAAAAAAAAAAAATTAAATAAATGCCAGAGCTGGGCGCAGTGGCTCATGCCTGTAATCCCAGCACTTTGGGATGCTGAGGTGAGTGGATCACTTGAGGTCAGGAGTTCGAGCCCAGCCTGGCTAACATGGCAAAACCCTGTCTCTACTAAAAATACAAAAACTAGCTGGGTGTGGTGGCGGGCACCTTTAGTCCCAGATACCTGGGAGGCTGAGGCAGGAGAATCGCTTAAATTCGAGAGGCGGAGGTTGCTGTGAGCTGAGATCATGCCACTGCACTCCAGCCTGGGTGACAGAAGGAGACACCGTCTCAAAAAAAAAAAAAAAGAGAAAGAAAAACAAAATGCTAGGTCTTCCCCAGCCCTTTCCTAACCCCCCGACCCCTTGTGATGCAGGTCACAGACCCTCGAGGAGCTAGAGAAGGGTTAATATTAGCAAAGTTTTACTTTTTTTTTTTCTGCTCATAAATGACTCTGAAAAAGCCGATACGCCAGAGGCTAATGCAACTGTAGTCTAAAGGCAACGTCGAGGTCACCGATACGTCCC